TGACAAGGTGCTTCGAATTATTAATAGATAAAGTCATTCGAGATTTTTAAAAGTAAATGGCATCCAACAGGAAACTTATCCTAATTTGCCGCCACCATTGCAGCTAGCTTCATCAGGAGTCAAAGATATATTAGCTCATCCCATGAGAAATATCATTTTCCTTATATTAATTTCTAGCGTAAAAAATTAATACCGTTTTTAATCGTCGACCTATTGACCATCGGTATATACGACATTTTCCCATTTTTCTGTCAACATTTTAGTGACATTTCCGAAATTTGGAGAAATAGGAAGAAAACGAGATTATTGATGGGATGTCTTAGTAGTATCCATGCTTATGTTACCGATTAGTGATTTGCAATTGATAATAGAGTGATAAGCAAACCTAAGGATGACGAGGAGGGATGTTTTCGAGCCGACAAGGTTTTCGGAACTATCGGTTCAGTGGGTTATTTGGTTCTGTGCAGGAGTTCACGGCCCTCCTTTCCATTGTACGCCGAGTACGCTTTACCTCGAGAGGGAACTGCGAGACAGGACCCCATTGTTTGGTGGCAGAGCCGAAAATTGGTTGTCGGGCGGACTTTCTCTGCACGCGACCGCTTGACCTGGTCCGTGTCACTTGTCGCCGCGATCGGTTTGCTTAAAGGTGTGCCGTTGCAACGGGGAGGCTATTTTCTTTGCTTGTGGAAAAAGGACTCTCTGCGTGCAGACAGGGCAATATTCTCAAGTGGAATATAAAACAACCCCCAATTTAAAATCACCGTTGTGTCAGAATCTAATTGTCATAGGAAAAGTATTTTCGAAATTGTGTTAATTAAACATATCCACGATTCTTAGATAGAGTAATTAACAAGTTTATTACAATATTTACAAAACAATGTTTCTGACAGCTAAATTCTTGGTTATGAATATTTCATTTTCTCACTGATATAGTAACACGAATATTACTTTATATTACATAATATATTAATTTATATTTCTATGTGATCCTCGTCTTCTTTAATAATTTTATCGTTCATTTATTCAATGAATTCAAGAATTTTCGTGTTTAATGTCACGTGAAAATAACGATTTTTTGAATGGCACACTGACGTAACCGTATATTGTCACATTCAATTAAATTACGCAGCCACAAGAAACTAATCAATTTCACTCTGTCGCATCTCCATACTACTCTCCAGTGAAATAAAGTATAATTAATTATCGATGACCCAACTCGAACGTCGGAGATTCAATCGAAAAAAGCTGTTTGTTTATTTTCCTCGCAAAGAACAACACGACGTTCTCGATGAAATCCGCAGGAATATTTCATGAACGAATATCCGGCGGAGCATGAAGGAAAACGAAGAATGAAAATGTTACGGCGCGAGTCACGAAGGAGCTCTCGCATCGTTCCAGTTGTCAAATAATATCGATTCGATAACGGTCTCGCCGAGGATGCGAAGGGCGCGATTAAGTTGTATGAAAATCAGGAATTGAAACAGTTCCGAAAATAACTGTTTGAAACTGTTATATATCGATTCCGACTGAAAGAGTTATGAAGAATCGAAATAAGTCATATCTGTTATTCGGTATATCGGTTTCGGTTGCGGTTCTTCAGAACCGATATATCGGAAACGGTTCCATAACTGTAATTTTTCGGTTCTTGAAACAGTTATGAAAAATTGAAATGAAGAACCGCAAAATAAGAGTTCTATAGCTGTTATTTTTCGGTTTTCGAAACAGTTATGAAGAACCGGAATAAAGAACGGAAAAGTAAAAAGTATTGAAGCGTTTCAGAACCGATATTCCGAATAACAATTATGACTTATTTCGGTTCTTCATAACTCATTCAAGAACCAAATCCGATATCATAATTGTTTTCAATCCCTGATAAAAATTCATGAATGCGACAGATCCGGGTATGTTATATGAGATTTTTTGGGTCAAGTTAATCGTAACATCCGGAATATTTAGAGCGGCGTGTACAATGGCCGGGGTTCATTAAATGAGGTTTTAGACGCTTGAAAGAACAGCAGCGTATTGTAGTACGTGCGACATCGTGAAAACGAGGGAACGTGCGCGAAGAATGTATGTGCACGGGCCGAGGGGGAGAGGGAAGCGGAGGAGTACAGCGCGAGTAAGAGAAAAACAAAGGAATAAAGAGGTCACATGCTTTGTGAACTCTAGTTGGAAAGGCGATCAGTCGTGCAGATTGAGCTACAGGATGAAACCCGTCAAGGTTTATTGAGTGTAAAGCGAAAAAGCAAAAAAGGTGCAAAGGGTAGCTGCGCCGTTCCTCTCGAACCTACGATTCCAATTTAAAGCAACGCGACGAATGTGAAATCCAATGAATTCCCTGATATTTCGATTAATTAATAACATCCTGATATTTCGTCATATTTTTTATCCTTTCATCGCTTTCCTTTGTTCCCTTTTGTGCGACAATTGTTAAATTTTTGATGAAATTTTCATATTCACTTTGAAAAGTGTGTACCTAAAACGTGTCGCAAAAAGTAAGCTATATCTGTTTTAACGAGTGTATTCTTCATAACACAAAACCTTGCCATTTCTTCATGATATATTCGTGAAACATAGTTAACTGTTTAAAGATAATTAATTTAAATTTGGAGCAAATAACAGTTCCGATCGTTTTTCAATTCCTGCAACGCTGGGACTACTAACGATCAAAATTTCTGAAAAATGAATTATTTTTTAATTGAACTGTTTTAATAACAGATGTTAGAAGTTTCAATATGTTAGATTAGTTAATTTAATAAAGATCTTTGGATTTTTATAAATTCTTCAAAGTAATTTTAAACTGTGAGCTGGTAGGGTGTGAAAATAGGAATAAGAATATCGATTCTTATTACAGTTCTACAGAAAGGATTCGCACAGTGATGTAAGCTTCATTGTAGCGATTAATAGTGTTCCCATTCAATCTACAGAGGAATCGTGTGCTCGCCCGTTTATCCTCATTGTCTTCCATCGCATTCTTGCAGATTGCCAAATACAACGGGCTATTGAGTACAATTTCTGACGTATTTCCCTCGAAGAATCGATAAATCCTTTCCCGTAATCATCAATTGAATCTTGATCACGTTTAACACTTTTTTGAATGGTTAGTTTAAAATACTTCATAGTTTCGAATCCTTGTCTCAAGAATCAGCAGTTTCATCAACATTAACAAACATTTCGTAAATTGCTATTAGACTTGAGTATTATCAGACTGTTTCGAATGAATATTATGATCTAAGATAATTATTAAAATGACTTTTTGCTAGTCGAATAATTGACTCGAATTAATATTATAATTATCCCTTGTCCACAACAAATTATTCTATATATTTATTCTGATAATAAATGTAACTTTCCTCGAACAAAGTTTTCTCTGTTATCATTATCTTTCATCCATTACGTGAATAAAATTCTACCCATCACTTGCTGGTGTTAATAGAACAAACAGAGCCGGTGCAAAAGCGTCAAACAAACCCCTAATTTCCTTGACAAATATTTCGATACAAATATTTTTCTCATTGAAAGCCCGGACGAACTCGAGACTCCCCCTTATATCCTCGGCTCCTTTTATTGTGTTCCTACTACTTCTGTTCACTGTATCCATTAGCTCCCTTCCTCAGAGGAGATCCTAGGAGCAGATGCGGCACTTCTGCTAGCCCGGTGTATTTATTTTATTTTATCGATTCCCGATAGTCACGAAACAACGGCTTTGTACCACTATCTTTATTATTACCCGCGGGGTAATAGAGAATTCCGGTTGCATGAGTTTCTCCTAGTTCATGCTTTCATTACTTTGTTCATATACAGCGTATCATGGTTCAACAGATCGCATTTTTATAAAGTTGCCTTGCCCTCTCCTTCGAGAAATCGTGCATTTATTATATTGAAAATAATCCTCTACCATCAATCTTCAAGACATGAAATAGTAATAAATAATTTGTTGATATATTGTACGAAAGAGAAACTAATGTTTGTTTAATATTTTATTGTTGTTAATAAATTAATTCTTAGTCAGAATTAGTACAATAGAATTCTTTTAAGATTAAAGATAATAATATAATAAAATAAATATATTAAAGTATTTTGATCGCAAGATATTTTAGATATGTCATTAATTTATATAAATTGTCTGAAGCTGTTTAGTAAAATTATTCTATTTGACAATCTGAGAACTTATTGTTACACGTAAAATAAGAAAAGGGTTTGCTAAGAAATAGAATTTAGTAAATATTAAATAGATATTAATTATAAGAATTTAGCGGTTCGAATGACTGCTTCGTTCGTCTTTTTACTTTGGGTTTTCGTACTCTTGAAAATGGAGATTGTTGGTACACTCGCCAGTTCCAGGTTCTAAATGCGTCTTATCTGTCTTTGTGAAAGCCAAGACTCTTTGATCCATTTTATCTCTTATCTCCGATTAAAAGCGTTGAAGTCCTGGCGTACTTTCCAGTGTTGGGGTGAGTTATAGGAAACCGGGGAAGTTTCTAACGCTATTGCGTCGCAAACGATACTCGTGTATCAGTATAATTAGTAGCTATTGAATTAGAACGTCAACAAAATTAGAAATGAAGAACTATTGATTTCCGTTTGTTTCATTGTCATTTGATCTGTCGATAATTATTTATTTTATGCTTGTATCTGTTCCAATTTTACATTGTTCAAATATAATTTTATATTTATTAATCGTCTTTCAAAAATCAATGATTAAAACCGGAGAATTTTTGTATAACTTTTTAAGAATAATATTAGTAACATAGAATAATAATTCTTCTGAGATTATTTTTTGAAAGAAAATTATTTAGTCATTGATGATATTAACACCCAAAGATAAAAAATTGTAATCATCATTTGTACTGAATATTAATACATTATCATTGCCCACAGAGGGAATGCATAAATAATAATATTTATTCATTGTTTGTATTATAAATGAATATAAATCTGTATATATTGTGAATTATTTTAATTTTCTCATCAACATATTCATCTGCTTGCTTAAACTAATAATTGGAATCGTATAATACATTCTTTTCAAACAGCTATTTTAATGAAATTTCATGCCAATCTTTCTATACTGCATTTCATCAATTTTCTTTTGATTAGGGGCACACTTTTCTTATTTCTCTTTGTGAAATAAATGTCACAAATGAAAATTAAGAAACCGGTAAAACCACCGTATGAATTTCTAATAAAATTAAAATATTTGATTGTTTCACAAATATTATAAAATGATTCGTAAGAAAGCTTGGCATGCGTTTAATATTATATTATCACATACATAAATGAAGAAACTCAAGAGATATCTTTGAGAAACTGTATCACAATTTATGTTTTCATTGGAAGAGCTAAATTTCCGGCGTCTTATGAAGAATAAAATAATTAGAAGGACGGCAATTAGAAACTTAAATTAAATGTATATATAATTAAAGGCCAATTGACTGCACAAATAAATTTTTATTCAAGAAATTCAATACGTGTGAGATGTAAAGTAATGTACCATTTGTAAAGGTAAATACAACGAATCGAGTGTAGAATAACAATTTGATACAACCGCGTAATATTTCCATTTTATCACAACTATGGTCCAGTGGAGCGAAATAAATAATTTTATGTTTTCCAACACACTGTGCAACTTCATCTGTAAATCTCAAATGTTAATACGTTATTACAATATACGATTGAATTTCTTTATACAGAATTTCCGATAATAATCGTACAAGTTATTATTTACAAATTATAGTGCTATCTAGTTTCACAACATACAATCACCTCAGAAATGAATCTGAACAGAACACGTTGGAATATTTCTTAGAACATATTAATGAACAATACGTTGCTTTATGAAATTAAATATTCACGTTCACCTAAAGTCAGTATAATACATATATGCACTAATATAAAAAAAATATTTGATCACTCGTTCGGTATACAATGAGCTTTGCTTATTTAATAAATTATTAGATTGACTAAATTATTTTCTTTTGATATCTAATTACCATTGTAATTATCTAATTACCATTGTATTACTATTATAATTACCACAAGTGATCAAATACGATTTAGTGATAGCATGTATCATTCGAATTGAATAGAAACAAATAAATTATAAATTGCATTGGGAACAAACAAATCCGAACACAAGAAGAAAGCGTGTTAATTTACAATAATTTAAGAATGCGTCTAAATTTTATTGCATTTTTCTTGAGCTTTTCAATGTCCCGTTACGCGGGGAATGCGAAGTGGGCCTTCAACTTTTTACACACTTCGCAAACAGCACAGTTCATAACATCACAGTACACCGCAAGGAAAATGAGAAATTTACTTATTTCCATAGTTACAATATTATTTTTCTTCCTTCCCTCTAATCTTGTAATAACAATGGCGTTAATGATTTCTCTCGTATCTTGATATCGTCATTCTCATGTCTAAATACACTAATTTACCGTGATATCTACCAGTGAATGAAAATATTACTCGAAACGAAAATCGAAAAAGCAGAACAACATTTGCATTTTCCTTTTTAAGCATTGTAACGTTCACGTACGATTTTTATAGTATTATCAATTAACACCTTCCACTGGAAACAAATAGTGTTGACTGACAATCAATTTACAGAGTGTATACCAGCACCAGTTAGCACAATCAGCACCAACAGTTAATAACGAACTAATCGAAATTACATGCTGTGGCATCCAGATTGTTCGTGATCGTTATTCCGATTAATGAAATAGCAATGTTCGTTCGTGAAATTCAATTAATCCTCTGCTCAGTCGATTCGAAGCATTACTTTTCATTCAACGTAACAATATTAATAATAAACATTAACGCAGTCCTGTCGCGTGAATAGAAAATAACTATAATTCACATTTACGTCAATAAATAAGAAATATGAACACACAAATAGATAGTTTCGAGAAATGTTCGATTATCGTTGCTTCTGGTATGCTTTTAAAAATAATATTCGCTGTAAAACGATTGAAAAGAAATTCTTAAAATAGTATATCGTGAGATTGTACTGCTACATATACTCCTTCGCATATAACTCTCGCCTATAGGTTACATTGTTCTTTGATATAACATATTGCTTAGATTTACATCAACCGAAAACTTCGAATTCATGTCAACAAACTTCGGTTTAAGGAAAAATATTTTCAGATGCACGTAAGTATATTATAATATGTACATACAGGTGTTGTTGACACGGGGAAAAATACGGAGGAATCGGTTTGATTGCCGCATATTCCCTGATTGTGTGCCTGATCGTTTGATTTCATCGAAATAATCAATCAGTCAATTAATTGTCTATGTAAATACCTAGCTTGCTTGTGCGTATTCTGAATGATGGACATTATAATAGGAACAGATTGAAAGCCGTGACAACATCCACAATGAAGTAACACGATTATAGCTCTCATGCGTGCGTTTCACGTGTGCAAGGTTTTTACACTACTTCTGGTCTTGGTTACTTGTCTGGCTGACATCTCTACGGATTAAGACAGTTACAAGCTCCTTCAATCCCTTGCCATGCGATAACGAGTTATAATAAACAATGAAATGAATATTTAATTTAAATTAAATGAAAATAAAAATTATTTATTCTTTTCGCGGTAAAATTGAATATTATTTTATTGAAATTAATATTAAAACTGTTAAAAATATACATTTGTATGCTAGAAGAGGTATTTCAATTTATATTATAATTATGATTAATTATGAAAAGGAATATAATACTTCCAAGCTGCCTTGTGTGTTAAATATTCATGAAAAATTAAATACTTTTTATTTATAGATTTAACAGAATTTAAACTGAATTCTAAGGATAATAGAACATTCACAATGTACAAATAAATTAATAGTCGTGAATAAGTCGTATGTCAAGGGATTAAGCTACTCAATTTCAGCTATGCTAACCAGAAAAGTATACTTCTTGCAGTAGTCCTAATTTCATTCTCGTTTAATTTCACATTATATTTCAATATCATTTGAAGTTGTACAACTACGTATTTACCGTTCCCAAATGAATAAAGAAGAATTAAGAATGAGTGTTAATAAATTTCAACAAATACTATTCATTCATTTTTCCAGTTCTTGTGGAAACCAGAATTAAATGCGTAACCTTATATAATCTGTTTGATTCACATTTATTGTACGATTAATAGATATGTCCTTTAGAAAGCATGGAAAGTATAAATAATTGTAATGATGCAGGAGCAAACATCTCGAAGAATGTTACCTTGAATATATTTTGTGGAACGTGATATAAATTTAACATATTTATAAAACGAAGTATCAATTCTTTTTAACTCTCTTTAACAATGACCTATAAAGTTCTAAATGGATCTGTTTGTCGAACTCAAACGGTTTTATACTCTTCCTAAAGTCTCTCACATGCTGTCTTTCGCTTCCATTCAATATTAGAACAAATTTTTGATGGATGTTACGAATAATTACTTTTGTAGACCTAAAAGTAATGTGATAGCTGAACATTATCATACAAGTTACTGTCTAAAATAGAATGTCTTTCACAACTGCTGTACAAACTTCGTGTACGGTACTACTAACACAAACATGAGTCTCACTGACACTACCGTTTCTTACGTTAAGCGATACATAATTTATTAAAAATTAAAAAAAAACATTTGATGCTCGTTACAATACAATTGCTTTATCTAACTAACCAAATAGCTAGTAATTAACAAGAATTACAACAAAATATATAAAAAAGGTCCTCTGTTTTGTAACTCATCGTAATCTTATGACAAATAAAATTCGCAAGAAGATATACTTCAAACAATTCCGCGCGAACTTAAAACGAACAATAGCGAATATTGTTCGATCGTTATTCGGATGGCGATATAATTAAATAATAACGCAAATTGCTCTGGTTATATTAATATAATCCAAAGTAAGTTGTACTAGGAATCATTTGAACAGGTACTCGCTGCGTATGTAGCGATGAAAGAAATTCGAGGAGACATTCTCCGACGAAGAATACACATTCGACTAGATCTCGTAAAAATTTCACGTACGTGACGACATATTTTACAAACAACAACTGTACATTTACAACGTATCGAGTACACACCGACGTAACCATGAAAATTCATTGTCTGTGGCAGTGGTCGTCAACCGACCGAACTTTTATGCGTTCATAACATTTGCATCTGAAAACACAATAAAGGTTCACTCGTGAATATATGAATAATAACATAAAGAGTTTGAATACTCTACTGTCTCCCCGCAATCCGATGGGTATGATCGAAGGGAAACAAAAAAGTAAATATTATCCTCAAAGAAAGTTCGGGAAGATACGTTTACCGAACGCTGATCGATGGTATTCGAAACATACGCATGTAGGTTCAAACCTGAAGGGATAATGAATTCTAAAGTACTATATGAACAATAAACAATTCTCATTTATGCACGAGCATTTCGTTACATTTTGTACATTTGTCAATTCCATTCATCGCGAATAATCTTAAAACTTTAAAACTTCGGCCACTATACAGCTGTACTTAAAGCTCAATAATATTCACAGAAACGATTACCCTATCATTGTACATTGATTTCAATATATTAGTAATTGTAGACATCACATTCTGAAGGTCTTAGTCTACGGACAACTTACAGAGTTCCTCAATTTAATCCGTTTCGAAACCATCGTGTAAATATAAATACGGTTCAGTGTATGAGACAGTAATTTGTTCATCTGGAATGTTTCCATTCTTTCGAACGGCGTAAAACAATTCTTCTCGCAATTGTAAAATCTGTTTGGTATCGAGAAGTGTTTCGTTATGCCAAAAATAGAATTTCCGAAAATTGACTTCATTCCTCCGAGGTAAGAATTTTACTTTGTGAATAATTTTCTGTTCTCAGTATTGGATTTTTAAAAATTACTCAACTTCTTTCTTCCTTTTGAACTCATCATACGAAAAATACGATTTTTATTTCTGTTCAGCATTTTCCAGCTTCAACGTCGATGAAAAATATCAAATTTAAAAAACCGGAGTATCCGATGTTATTCGATAACAATAAAATAATAGTTATAAATACTCCATGCCTGAAATAAAAATTTTTGGTAAACGGTACGTGGCATAGCTTCGAACACTCTTCCCCTTGTAAATATCATATTTTTCGCGTATCAAAAGTCATGGAAACAGTAGAAAAAATTATTTCTATACGTTCTATACAGTGTAGTTTACGATTCCGAGTCTATACATGCACAGTTCGCGTAACTGACGTTAAACGGAAATAAAGTGAGTGCCCCCTGAATTCGAACCCACATGAGCAGTTTATCTAAAAACCGAGAGATATTCATTGAACACGGTGATTACATATACAATGAATACGTATCTAAATACTGGACGAACAGAAACTTTACAGGTTCACATCTTTGGTGTTCCAGGAACATTTAAAGCTACAATCATATGTATACATTCGATTTTTTTATGTTATTATTCAGTATCTGCGTTTCCTCTTTGTCCCACTTTGAATTGAAAAATATCGTATGTACCAATCGTATCGTGTGTACCAATTGACAACATTAATTCATTATAGTACGCAATTATATTACACCTAAAAGAAATTCGAAAGGAAATGATCCGTTGCGATCTTCTCCTGTTTCGACTGACAAAAATGGAACCGAAATCACATTTCATTTCCAAGTACATGATGCACAATGTACGATTCCAAATTCGCAGACGAATTCAATCGACTAATTTTTCCGTGCGAATGTAACTCGTTCAACTGTGGTCAAGGTGTGACGATATAGCCAAATGTTAAACGACATTTACACAATGGGTAAAACTAAACGGTAAAATCAATTTGCCGAATGCTTATGGTTGCTTCGTAAAACCATCGATTCTACGAAACGTCACAGTCGCAGCAACGCGTTTCACGAAATGAACGCATTGGACACTTTCGATTCGAATACTGGGCCATTAATACGCGAGAGGGTCCGATAAAACCTGACCCGAAAGGAACATCGTATAAATCCGTGTGAAGTGATACGCGGAAACTAATTGCACTGTGCGTAGCCGTCTACGACGAACAACGATTAAAATACATCAGCACCAATGTGATTTGTACGTCTAAACGAGAAACCCGAACGATCGTTAACGTTCAAACGAAAGAGGAAAAAAACGAACATCTAATTTCTCAAACATACGATACACGTTAATCGAGCAACTGAACGATACCATTAAATTCCTATCACATTCGCGGAACAGCAGTTCACAATCGCCATAAAAAAGATGCGTGACAAGGATCGCCTAAAGTTAGCGAATTAATTACTAGATTGATGTGTAAAAGTCCACGTTGTTCATCGAAAAAAGTACAAATCCTCTTGTCTCTCGTGAAATTCAGGCAGTCTTTTCTCAACGATTCAACGGGCCACGCTTCGTCGTTTCTCTTCACACGTCGGCGAGCGAGGCGCGGGAATCCCCGTCGACGATTGAGATTTTAGGGAACGTGACGTCTGCATCAGAGATCTGATCCGTTCCGTGTGGAAGTCCGGGCGACGACGAGTGCGCGATCGATCGAAACGAGCCTCGTCATTTTACAGAATTTGAGTGTAAGTACCACGAGCAAGGACGTTTTCAAGTGGTCTTCAAGTTCCCCGCGCGAACCAGGTCGTGTTCGCGCCACGAGCTCGTCGTGCAGATATCGCCACCTCTCCACCATTGGTTCACGTCTTTGTAGGATTTTGGCGGCCGATCGTCGTGCAGCATCGCGCAAACTCGACACCAAAAGTATGTGTTGATGAACTCGCCGGTGCCTTTCCATCGGAAGTACGAGTTGTACAGCTCGTCGTCCCGGTCCAAACGGTGCAGGTAATCGGCCAGCTCCTTCGGCGACTCGAATTCGTCCACGTGGATGTACGAACGATAAGGCGCGCTACGGGCGTAGTCCGCTGGATGCGCGCCCATCACAATAGGCAGAACATTGTGTCTAGATTAAAAGGATTTGTGTTAAATTTTGTTTGGCGATAACTGTATTGCCTGCTTCCCATTGATTATTATTAGTAGGCAACGAATCTTTATGTAAAATAAAAACTTCAATGGACAGAACATTGTGTTTAAAGCAAAAAGATTTGTGTTAAATTTTGTTTGATGATAACTGTATTGTTTGGTTTCCCTTGATTATTATTAGACAAATCTGTATGCAAAATAAAAATTTGCTTGAGGGCGTAGTCCGCAACCTTGATGCATAACTCAGGTTTCTTATGGAAAAGCTTTTCAAAAGTTTAAACAATTCTCGTCCGCAAAGGGTTAAATTTTGTACGATGAAAGCTTTATTAAGTGATTTCCCTCAATTATTACTATTGGTAGTAGACTACGGATCTTTATGCAAGTTCAAAATTTTTAAGAATATAATCAGAAGAACAGAATTACAATATTTCATCTAGTTATTAAATACTATAATCTCAAAAACAATTGTTAATGATTGTTATATTTAAATGTAAGAAATAATTTGAACTTTCATTCTAAGAATATTGTGAAATAATAGACGTTAATGAGATTGATCTAAAAGAAATGATTGTAAGTAGAAACAGTGAGTCATGGGCAGACAGTGCAGACTTGTATTCTCAAACACGTGTGACCGCAGAATATTCATACTATCCAAATGAAATATTCAGAGTAATTAATCTTAACACAAGAGAAACTTATGAAATTGTCGCATTCAGTATCTTCAGAATAATTTTTCTTCCACCCTTTCCCTTCCTTCTCCAGTGTCTCATTAAAACAAGATAAAAATGTATCCAATTGAATTAAAATCCAGAAAATGGGACACGTCTTACAATTAGTGAAGTGTAACGATACTTTGCTTTCTGGTAACAGTCACCCTCGTACCGAAATCTCGGTGATGACAGCACTCGAACGAAGTAGGACAGGAGGGAATCTTAAGGACCACTACATATACCAAAGTGCACTAAACAGGGGTGACAACAGCTGTGTGCAGAGCACACTTCTGTAATTACTGTAAGTACGTAACAAAATTTTGTCACGTTTCTTAAATGTCCTACGACCTTGTCATTTTTTAATTAACATCGTGCGAAAGCCCACTAAATATTTTTAATAACGAAATTTCGATAAGATTTTAACAGTGCATAATAAAATCTTATCAAATTGATCACGTTAACTTTCATAAAATATTTTGTCGTTCTAATAAGATATTTATTAGCGGATCACATGATATATCAATGTAGAAAGAGAATAAAAAGAATATGCATACCCGAGGCCGTTCACGAAGAATTTTTCCGTGATATAATCCTTACAATTCGAGTTCTCGAAAGCGAGGTAGAACTTATAGTCGTCGTCGAGCATATCAAAGCAAGCTTGAGATTGCGAACGAGGACATCTCAAAGTACCGCAAGTCCCATAAATGTCCACTTGAATGTGCTTTGATAGTTCCTTAGCGTATAGCATACGCTGATTTCGAGGGTGGCAATTAGAAACGAACCAAGCTACCTGAAACGAAAACGGTTGGAGCGAAACGTTAATATTGAGCATCAAATCGAATTAAAATAAATATCAACTGTTCATAAAATTAACTCGTACAGAATTTTATACGATTTATTTCTTAAACAAAAGTGTCCTTTTTAGTTAATATTATTATTAAATATTATTATTAATAATATAATACATTATTTTAGTAGATATTACCTTTTTAGTTTTGTTCGCTGCGTAATTAAACGTTTGCATTATTTGCGTAATGCTAGGGTCGTAATACTGCCACCTTTCGTAGGGCGCAACTATGTCGCTGTCACGACGATAAGTTGCCGTCCAATTGATGACAGCGTTCTTCACGCTTTGCGTGTGATAAGGACACTCTAAAAAATACAGCATCCACACCTGTTGAAAATCGCATCAGTCTCATTCGACGCATATAGCTACATTTAAGACGGTACCGCAAAGCACGGTTGCGGAATTTAATAATCATCGAAAATAATCTTTCTTCGCTTTGTACAATACTTTATAAAATCTCTTATAAAATATTCAATTCGAATTTACACAAATTTTGAACATATAACGATCCATAATCATTTTCTCGTGAATTTGTTACGTTTAAATATAAACAGTTTTTTTAAATAACAACATTCACTAAAATTTATACTATTCGTTGATAATAAAGTTTCGTAAGTAATCAAATTCGTTAACAAGAATAGTTCGTGTCATTTTGACAGGGCAAGTCAAGATATAGTCCATTATTACATACTTGTTTCGGGGATCTTCTTCCCACGTGTGTTACGTAATCCTTGAAAAGGATTAGGTCGGCATCGGCCGGATCTTCCCTAACAATTGTACAGGTGTTTACCGGACAATGATGTCGAAGAAATATGTCAGGGCCAACTTTAGCCTCGGGCATGCCATGCGGGACCATTATTTTCTTCAACGAGTGCTCTGTTTTATTGTAATTGTGTGGCACGAACATCAACTGAAAAAATTCGATGTAATATAAATAAATCGATGGAATTATCATGATATTTTTAGGATTTGTTGCTTTATATTTATTGTCAGGATTTGTAGCTTCATATTTATTATTAGGATTTGTAGCCTTACATTTATTATTGTGATAGTTTTATATTTAATTTATTATTATATAATTTGAAACTTATCATTACCGTCACAAATCCACAAAAAAACGTGTATTTCAGATTCTGTGTTTAGTACTTTTGTTTTGGAAAACAGTTCAAAATGTACATATACAAGCACATAATTACGTACGTTAATAAAATTATTATCACAGCATTGGAAGAAGAAACAATTCACGTTTGAAGTGATGACAATCACAAGAATTGAGAAAACGAAAGGGGAACCACGCAGGCTTAAAAATGTTTCTTACTTTCTTATAATTCTTTGAGAACGCTGCCCTAAATACAGGGACAATGGATTCCGTTGTGTCGTAAACAAAAGGGGTGGAAAGTAGCGTGCATGTCTGCGCGGACAATTTCAATGAAAGCTACAGCCCGGTGTTCTTATTTTCAGTCTAGTACACTCCAGGACAGTGCCATAACTTTGTGTGTAACTTATTCGACATGGTAAATTAACACTCAACTTTCTACGTGTGACGCGAGATTCGACGCACAGTAGACTAAATACAGCAGATCAGATTTATGGAGACATAAATATTTCTACGCCCCCCCAAAGCTAATGAATCCGAATGATTAACACGTTTGCTAATCGAATGATAAAGTAACGTAACACCAAAAAACTAGCAACATTTCTATAATATTTCACTCGACACGTTTCGTAATTAAAATTGCTGAATGACTACTCATTTTATTATTTGCTCACGTTTATTTTTTAAATCAAACATATTTAGTGCCATCAATTATTACATTTGATATAGCAATAAAACACTTTTAATATTTATAAATAAAATGTACTTTACTATCTGTTAAAATAAAATTAATATATCTTTGTACATTCTTTTCATTTTATTTAAACAATTTCCTCCATAATGAATTAAAGAGTATTATAATATCATTGTTTAATTACCTTGTTCTTTAATCTTTATAAATATACTTTGTTTATTGCTATAATCGATCGGTATTTATCATGTTAAAACATCGATTTTGATGACGTGTCTTACCTGATTCGTGACACGGTCATCGTAAGCATCTTCTTCTGGCCAGAGTCGAGCTAATCTTCGCCCAGTGCGATTTGACTTCAGAGCAGGGTAAGGTCTTCTGATTCCTCCTTTCATGTACCAAGGTCTCCTCGATGGATCTAAAGCGTCTATAGCGTTCCGTGACAGAGTCGTTACACCGGTTAAATTGGCAACCTTTAAATTAAGAAATGGTATTGTTGTATATTGTGCATTGTACGTGGTCTTTTGAGTATTTATTATCTTTTTTATTGTACAGCTAACGATTTAGAAGCGTTTCCTCTACGATCTATTGCATTGCTCACCTCAAAGCTTTTGTTAAATTCTGTAGACCTATGAAAGTTTCACTGATTCTGGATTTAGATATTATTTTATTTATATATGTCAATATTCCTAATATTTTTATTATTTTTTAAGACATGAAAAATCATCGCAAAATATTGTTTAATATTTTTTCTTTGTTCGTCCTTTTTTCAACGTTGAACTTACTTTTGTAATATTTTTATGTACTAGATTTTTATATTCTCTTCTTAAAAACTTTGAATAAAGACCTAACAATTGTTACGAGAAATGTGTCGTTTCGCTTTGTAATCGGAGATGCACTGAAAAATTTGTTTAGTGTTGATTCATTCATTAAAAATAGGATAATTAACGAAAACAATAGCTGGGAAATAAAGGTTATGACAATGTCAGATACATCTGTGATACATAATGTTCGTGATGTTACAGATTATTATCTATAATGTACTTGTATGCAGTTATGTAATGCATAGAGAAATATAATAGTATATTCCTGATGCATTTATAATTTATGACTTATTCCAAAATAATTCGTTTTTAAATACACATTGAAAGAATATTTTTTCATTCCATTGTTAAAATATTATAGTAACAATCATATCAAACAAAAAACATGTTCGTTGAACAAACAAAATGTTTACTAAACACAACTAAAGATAACACTATACTATGTACATAAGCAAAGATAAGTATACATTTTATCAAGAGAACTTGAAGTTTTTAGATATGGAACAGTACATATTATTTATGTTCGCACAAACATAACGTTAGAACATACTTAGAATAAAAATTCTGTGAAAGTTGAAAGTATCGATGTAAATGTATAAAATAAAACATTTCGATACCTACGGAAGATTTATAAATATCCAGTAAATATTGAATGCCACCACGACCTATGCTTATTATTTACATTTTGATATTAATAAACTATTGTAAATATGACATTAATCGGTGAAAACGGAACTGTTTTTATAAAAAGCCCAGAGAAGTAATCTGTAAATAATTTCCCTACAGTATAGTAAAACTGATAAACAAATCTTGCACTAAAATCCCCTATGTGTTTAATCACTAACCCTGATATTATTAAATTTACATAACGTGGTTTTTCACGTGATACTAACATATTTTGTATATAAGAAGAGTATTTATATTTCTCTGAATAATCACCAAACTCGATTGCAATAAAACTGAAATACTATTAACACAACAGTCACTTATATTTAACAGTTGTTAATCTTTAGAGGAGAATTCAGCCTACAACGCAGCTATTGATAGGCACGTGACACAAGCCGGACTACACGGTATTTACTAAGTAACTAACTATATAGTGTTAGCTGTATTTTAGAAACCACAGAGACAACCATGTTAATACATTAACACAGAATTACAGTACTGAATCAGCACACAGGTCAGGAATGTAACATAATCCGTTCGCAATATATAATTCAATTAATCATACAATTCAATTATTCTTGACAGGTGTAACAAATAGTGTTACATTAACTGATATCAACACGATCACATTGTAACTACGTTAAAACTGATTAAAACACGTTAGAAACTGGACAATTGTCATTTCTACTACAATAATAAGGTTGTCTCAAGTGTGTTTCGTACATACTGTCTTACAGCCGTCTATCGATACTGCAATCTAGTGACTGTACCTCGAACAGAAGCTTTTTCCTTGTTTTTTCCCGAGTCTGCAATACCTGCATCGTCGGTTTCTCCAATTTCGAAGGCCAATTTCGTTTGATCTGCGATCAAAATTCGACTTAATACCTCGATTTCCTCTTCCCCCTCTAATCATGGTATTTGATGAATACTCGCGCACAAAACAGATTTCATAAGAAATCAAACAGATTGAAGAGGAATTAAAATTTTTAGTTAATTTATCCAAATAAAAGGGATATTTTTCCAGAGACACTGATCTTTAAAAAATTTCAATCATTTAACATAAACCGCACTGGCAATTTGTATATACCAATTACTATCGTAACCAGTCAGATAATTTGTTACAAGATAAATGTAAATAAGAATATATTAATATATTAAATAATATTAATATATTAATGATATTATTTATGATAATATTATATTATATTATATATATAATGATAATATTTATTAATTATTATATTATATATTATAATTCCATAACAATATAGAAATTGATATATAGTTAAATGAATGAAAGAAAACGCAGAATTTTCAATCAAATTTGAAAATCGGCCATTTGATCGGTTCGCGATACGATTACTATTAATAGCGTGTAGACAATACAGATTAATGATTCATACGTCCTTAAAATGAAAATCCATCTATTATTCTTTGAATAATTTATTGAACACGTGTTCCGTTACAAACGCGAATAACTAGAATTTCTAATTGTGTGAGATTCAGACAAAAACTATGGTTAGACGCGACACAACACAGAAGAGGTCACGGAAATGCAATACGAAGCCGTTAAGTGCTCGTAAATCGTAACTCACAATCGAACCTAGTGTCCAGTAGCCATACGTGACACTAAAACTGCCAAACGAATCGAAATGATTTGAAGGAGCTTCGGATATCTTATTTTACAGTTACCGCAAATGTAAATACGCTTTCATAGGAAATTATTTAATAAATTTATTTATTCCTGATCGCAGTTTACGCAGTCCTCTGATTTTCGCGGGAAAATACAGACCAGTCGCTCTGACGGTAACGCGATCCTTGCGCTGAACAGTCGACGGAATTTAAAATTGGCGACGAACAATGGCAGACGACTAAAATAGGTTGTCTGGCAAAGAGCAATGAATTGTCCCTTGTATAGGAAATATGGTTTTCACGATTTTCATCTTATCTCAATCATCAAATTATTAAACAAACACGCAACTGTCAATGTGTTCGTGTTTAATGATTCATTGAACTTGACCTCTCATCTTGCTATTTCAATAAGGCTTTTCCTAAACTTTATCCCACGTTTTGTAAAAATTTCATCCAATGTATCTATTATCATAACAATCGTGAAAAGTAACAAATAAATCAACATGATGGCAAATATTGAAAGCATCGAATGATAATGCATAAACAACACTGTCTAACATTGCAACACTTTTCCTTTAGATTTGTCGATGTTATCAATAGATGTCGAAGAATACAAATTAAACGAGTACGACATGTTAAATTTAATTATTTCAAATTGAGGAATCATTCGAAACCCATTTGAATTTTCAGTATTATAATTACCTAAGAAAATTAGAGTAAAGTTGCCGAAGGAACGTTAGTTCCATACGTTGCTACGGCATTATTATGGTTTTTCGTGCTAAACAAATATAACTCCCGACAAACTGTCGATTTTATTACAGGTAGGTAATATATCATACCTTCGTGTTGTCGGAGACTCGGACAGATTGAGTTTGTCCAGGATGAGGTCGCATACGATGCCATATTTCGTCTTGCAATAGATTCAGGATAACCAATAACAAACCGGAGAGGCATAGCACGTAGAAAAAGGATCCCCTCAGAGACAAACGCGGCAGACCCATGCCGCACGTTTCCTTCTTGATATCTCTATGATTCCATGCGCTATTTTCCGTTCCACTCATACTGTCCATTCAGAAATGCTGGAAAATAAAAGGCGGAAACACTTTTAATATGCGTGAGATCCATTTCATTATATACTCGACTGAAGCGAGCTACATTATTCACACAAATTACATTTCCGAAGCACAGGAACATCTTTAGAAAAGAGCATCTAACTAAATTCTTCGACATCATGGTCGCATTAGTTGTAGATACTGATTATTTACGTTATTATCGTGTTAGTGGCACTTTTTTATGCTGACAAAAGGAACTTTTCAAAATTTCAAAAGTTTTCAAAAGTGTTCAATATTGGTTGTTGTTATTTTCAACATATCATTAGAAACAATAGATTAATGAATTTATTTTAAATTCACATTTTACTTTCATTCTTTAATTTGTATAGTATAAATAATCCATAAAATGAACTTCTACTTTGTGGTACAAGTTGAAAGACAGAATTAATGTCATTCCCCTTAAAAAATGATTGCAATCAGCATCAACGATCTATTTAACCGCTTGACGACAGAACTGGGTCATCGATTAATTGACATCATTATCTTTAAATGATTTTTAAGAAAAAATAATGTTGATCTATCCAAATACAATATATATTATATAACAATTTATGGAACAGTCAATAAATCTAAAATATTTTAGATTGGTCATCTGAATATATTAAAAATATTTTTCACTAAATTAATTAATGCCTCTTTTTAATTTCGGCCTACTTTTGGACAAGAATAAAAAACCAAACACACTATCGTGTAGCTTACATTTCGAAGAAATTGATTTGAAACGGGCTCAGCAGTAAGAACCGATATGAAACGAACCCAATATTTGGAGGATAAACATTTTGTTCTGCGTTATTATATCACGAAGTACAACGTTATGCCTTTTCCAATGCTTAAACCGAATCAAAATTCTCTCGGCGATGCGATAAAACGAATTCCTTCAATTATTCTACTATTATCCACGCACTCAGGTTTCTAAGCAACGTGTTTTTTATATTCAAATCTATTAATCACCGTTTTTGCTTCTACTAAAAAGAATCGACCGTTCCACGAAAGTTTTTGCTTGCAGGTCACTTTTGTAACTGTAATATTCTATAAAAAATTTAATCGGTTTCCTTGTAAACGAATATTGACCTGTATTAAAATTATCATTTCAGATGATACGTTTAAAGATGTGCGTGCTAATGTTTTCAAGGAAATTGAATTAGTTGCTGTACAAAAGATTATGTAGAAAACATAGGCTCGTAGATGTGGTCATCTTAAAACGGCGGTAGGCTGAGGTGTTAATGGCCACGAACTATCTCAGGTAAACGAACTATATGCTCGTCTGTTACTATCGGTAATGGTATTAATTGTTTTCTAAATATTCAGTGTGTTGTCCTATCTTCTTATCGAACAGGTTGTACATGAGAAGGTTCGAAGTCGAAGAGTCGATGAGTTGAAGAAATACGAAGATACATGTGTATTTATTTTAACATTAATCGTACCGGTACTTTACACCTACTTATTCTTACCATGAGGGGTCATTTGACCTCATAAAATAAACGTTGATTTTCAGAAAGAAATTCCTAATTTATTAAAGGAAATAATTTGCAACATAATTTCTGATTTCTAATAAAATAATCAAACACATATTTTTATTTCTATAAACAAAATAATCAATTAATTACATTTTTTACAGATGATTGGTTTCTCCTTCGTAGATTTCCCACAGACAAATCTTTTACAAATTATACACTTATAATTATAGAATTTTCCCCGCCTGAACTCGGTTCACTTATTTTTCGAATTTTTTCCAATAACTGCGTCCCTGACCGTGCCGGACATATTCAGGGTTGCAGTAAAACAGAAGGCCAATTGAATGTAACGGAAATTGTCACAATGTAACGGAAACCGTCGTGTATTATCACTCCTTGTTGAACTTGATTTCTCGTAGGCTCTGATTTTTACTCTCTGACTCTCAATATACGACTGCATTTCTATTTCGTTTAGCTATAGAGAACTAATTGGAGGAAGTGTTGCTTGTGAATCTCCGATAAGAGTCCTTTCTGTTTATGCGTTACGTCGTATGGACCCGATCGGGTCGTCCAAGTGCTCACGCCGAAGCCAAACACACATATCAGGCTCAGATAAATGAAACCTTCACTTGAGAAGCGTATCTGAGTTTAGAACTAAGGTTCCAGTTGGAGAACTGCCGAAAATTACGTAAACTTCGTATGGGGTCAAATGACCCCTCGTGGTACGTAAGGTGAAAGCGAGAAATTGAATAATCAGATGATAGAAGAATTTACAGAAAGTCAAATGAGCGAAAGAAATAACAATGAATGTACGATTTTAAAGTAAATTTTGAAAGGGGTCATTTGACCCCGCTTGGTACGTTTAGTGTTAACGATGTCCTCTAAAGAACTGTCTTTAGCAGATGATAAAGTTTGATTAACAATAAATCTTCCAAATGTAAAAGGGAATCGATAACACGGTGGACGGTATAGAATTTGTCGCAGAGCAACTCATAAAATTCGAATAATAAAATTTCGTGGTCTAACTATGAGATATGTCGCATTGCAGTCATTAACATGTGATATTAAAGTAAATTTTAACGTGACCATTACCTGCAAACCTTATAACCAAATTTTACAGATTCATAAAAAATAGGATTATCTAAGATCCGAGGTGATAAAAATCGAGATTATTATTTTATCTAGGTTTTAAAAGAATCGTGAGGAAGAGGATTAAATTTTTATTTGGCTTCATGCTCCGCTGCAAGCTAATTCCCGAAAGGCTATATTTGCATAAACATCCGTAGTCTGGTAATCAGATCAATAACTCCTCAATCCCCCAAGTGCTTTCAGTGAAGTACCTTGGTCTACATTTAGATGGTGAATTGGTATGGAAGCAACACATTCGCGCTGCAATAAAACAAATCAAGTTCGAAGAAAGAGAGATCTCTTAATTCCTTGGAAAATTTCTTCGTCTCAAAAACAACGAAATAATTTATAAAATCACAATAGCACATCTCAATGAATAAATCTTTCAATAGAATATGTGAGATGAAAAGAAGTTAAAAAAGCAATTATAAAAGAAAATTGGGTAGAAATTTATTTTCTGTATTAACAGGTTTATTAAGCTCGTAATATTTCACGATATACTATGAACACGTAAACATCAACAGTTGGATAATCACTATGAGGAAATCTTGACATTCCAGTTCTTATTAAATGACTCAGGATAAATAATATATCAAGGTAAATGTTAATATGAGACTGCACGTTTTCCGTATTTACAGGAATAGAAAGCGTTTGTTAAAACAATTTTGCAAGCTTCAAATAAATATGTATGATGTGGGCAGTATCTGAACATTTCTGTAGCCCACCGCCACCCTGATAATAAATAAATCAATGTACAGAAATTTATTCAAGAGTTGAATTCAACGAGGTATAAATATTCATTGGTTTACTAATTAATTATTTATTTTGGCTTTGTTACCTTTGCAAGGTGAGAAACAATGATTTGCTTATGATAAGAGAAAGGGGAAAGAAAGAATTATATTTTTTATGATTACATCTGAAATATTTCGTTAGTACACAATTTCTGATAAAAAAAATTGTTGGAGTGAAGATTTATCACTAATTTTCTATTCATTTTCTGTTTTGCATGAAATCAACTGCTTCTTGACGATATTACCGTTATTTGGCACCTTTTATATTGATGATAAACATTCTCAATCAGGAGATTTGATTATAACGTGTTCGTTTATATGTATGAAACACTTTTGTATTAATGTTGATGAATATTTTTCAATATGAAAAACTAGAAGCAAAAAGAGGGAAACGAACGCTGCGAAAACATAATGGAAGATCTTTTTGGTCACCTGAAGCTCGTCGAGACTCTGTTCCGCTTAATTTGCAGCCTTGAGGTGTAAATAAAGTGGAAGAAGGTGACAACAAGACCAGAAACTGGATTTTACTCGAGCACTAAAGAGCATCGTTCACAATCCGGATGTTTCATAATGTAAGCTTAGTGATAATGCTTATAATCTTCGAATTAAAAAATCAACAGCCAGATTTTTGTTACAATATACAATTCGTATATTGTTTGCGTTTATCGTTATTTCGGTTTTCAATGATTCTTTCCAATGAAACAAGCAATACTCTAAACATTAGAGTCTAAAGCCTTAAAATGACGAGATACAAAAAAATTGCAACCATACAATTTCATTGAGCACGTGATGTGTGATCTGTTCGATCGATATATCGGACACACCCCCCGTCATATTTAATTAACATCACTGCCTTGATTCTTTGATATAAGAACAGAAGATTTCACAAGTTTCTGTTCGATTTTGTACACTTTACTCAAACATTTCAGTAACTGTGTAACGTGCATAAAACTTCCTTCAAAATAGCTCAACAATCCAATATAAAGACACATTACGCCAACTGCTCAAGTGTCTAATAGTTTAAACAACCGCATGCTTGAAGTTGATCGCACAAGTTTAAATGACACAACTTAAAGGAAAGAATACTGTAATAATAAATTTGTGATAAAAAAAATAATAATAAATATTGTAATCTTGAAAACATTTTTTTCTAAATAAATTTGTAGACATTTATATATTAACATATAATTCGCTTTTTCTATGAGAGTTTCTTTAAAAAAAATTATAATTTCGAAAAATAACGATCTATCAGCTTCGATCCTTTTCAAAAGAGATCCTCAAGAAATTCTCTTCTTTCTGCGCATGTAATAGTTTTTGTCGGAAATACTTCTTTGCCCATTTATCACAATTTTCTTATTTATTGTAATTTAGTGTAGTCGCAGTAATTTAAAAAAAATTTACTGTACCTAATATCAAATCTGCGGTGCACACTCACAATGTATTAGAGAATATTTGAATGGACACTTCGACTTCACGAACACGTAACTTATTGTTCTACGCTAACCGTACAACTAAATTACGCTTTTATTGTGTAAGTTCACAGTAATCACCACGGAACTAACGAAAGTAACTGTTCTCTCGCGCACCACCTGGGTATTACTATTAACCATTGGCATCATGTGGCGGTATATTATGTATCTTATCAGTGTTACAGTCATTGGCCGCGGTAACGATAAAAAAACGTTACGTACTCATATTATAAATATTGTAATACAAAATTCATAGCACACAGAAAACTGCTAATCCATTTGAAAAACAAACTACTTCAAATTATTATTAGCCAGTTGACTGCATTTGACGAGTATCCGTTTTGAAACGTACGGTCGTGCGAAAAATTACCACTTGCCTTAAAAATGTAAAATGTAAAAGAATATAATGGCCATATTAAATAATTATGGAAACATAATTAAAATGTTATCCAGCAAAACAAAAATCTTGTAGCCTACTTGTCATTATTTTGATTATAATTACATATCCCACAAGAAATGTTTCGAACCAAATTCCGCGGTTAACAGGTTACAAAGAGCTGGCTATTTTGTGAGAAATGGATAAATTAAATGGTAATGATGATAATTAATAGAGCATAATCCAGGCACGTGCTTTAATAGTATCAAGATAACCTAAATAACAGGAGAATTGAATTTTTTCCTGTTGTTGCTTTCCCGGATGTGGCGACAGAATACGTTAATGGTGAACCATGCAGCAGGAAACTGATAGGTTTTATCTGTTTTACATTACTATACGACATGCTTTCATATTTTAGTGAGTCTGAATTTCACGTGATCCCTACCACGTGGTTCACTAGTTACGTGGTATTCCTGAATAATCATTTGTTTATACAATGACCATTCTATAGAACATACATTCGTAAAATCAACATTGATTAATATTAACACACCAAGTTATTTACATGATTTGTTATGAAGTTATAATTTTAATTATATTTTTATTTTCTTATTATGAAAGATTCAAATTGAATGAAACGATCGTTGTTTACCAAAGGGAGGATCGCGAGGAACGCCGACATTTCGCGTAATTTTGCGAAATTGAATTTCAATTGCGACACACATTATTAACAATCACACAGCTGACATAAATGTCGAATTCAAATATCTCGCAATGTGTTTAAATGTTTGTTTTAAAATTTTCGTAGAACACAATTAGAAAATTATTATTAGAAAATAATGTAATTAACAACTGCCGCTACGATTAAGAGAAGAGTTATTTCTGATATAATTGCTAATATAAAACTGACAACAAAGTAGAAATAACACGTGTGAAGAACAAACGAACAGTTTACGATATGGACAAAATTACTGCATGTAAATTTTTAATTATTTGTGTTTTAATTGAAATCAAATTGTGTTTATAAGCAATACAACTGACGAGAAAATTTTCCCATTACCACTTAAATATTACGAAGGAAATGTTCAAACATTTTTTATTAAATATTGTAGTCATTGTAATAGAAGAATAAACTCCTATACCCTATGGATTCACCATATAAGATGAAATTTTCATTGATCGAAACTTTTCACTTACATTTATTATATTGCAGACACATTCCGTGCAATTTTCACAGGTAGGCGTATTTTGAGTGCAGCAGTTTATTTCTACTATACAATTGATGTTCTAGAAACCAGGGTCTATTTCGAGTTTACCCTAGAATGAAAGAGAGAGTACGACCATGCCAAACTATATAGTGGAAATAGATTAGTTCAATTTAGTACATTTCATTATGATATCCTGTTCATTAACTTTATCATTAATTTCTATCTGTTTTGATGTTACTGTTTTACCGATCAAACATATTGGCTAGTTTATCTATGATTTTTAATTTTGAAATAATGGAAATTCTACGTTTCATTGCAACAGTCCCATGTTGTTCTTTCGTTGGAAAAGAATTTTCAATTATCGTGATATGATTATTACAGACAGTAAAATCCTATTAATATATTCCTTGAAAAATACTATAATAAAGCAGCATCGATGTTTCAATTAATTTTAATTAATTCACTGAATATTCCTTACATTATTAATAACTCTAAAAATGGATTGGTCAAATTGTTTACGATACCAAAATAAGAATCACGTATTTTATAATTAAACATCTCTATGAATCATATGCACATTTTAAATGAAACAGTGATAATTATCATTTATTTTACGAATTTAATGAAAATAATTGCCGTGGTCTTGTATACGTGTTTCTCAACGCCTAATTAGTTTATTTATGAACACCAGGTAAGCTTCAAACAACAACTGCACGTGCATCGGACGAATGATAATGAAAACGTTTCATAAAGTTATTCTGTATCATTTTATCGATTAACACAATAGAGTTCCAACAGAGCGGTCGCTTCTAGAGATTAAATTGTTTAATAAAAAACTTAACAGACACATATCTTATCATAGGCAAGATAAGCCTAGGTAATCGGATAAGAAATATCTTTTTGGTAACGTGATAACTTTCAATTATAAACCGATTCGCATAAAAATTATTGATATTCAACTGTGTTTTAAACCATTTAAATTGATTAAACAATAACAAAATTAAACAATAACTTTTCATTTATATAAGTTTAAGAATGTTAATACATAAAAATTTAATTAAAGTTAAAAGAAATATATAATAAGAACATAAAAAGATTTGTTTAGATAAATGATAAAAACAATTAACTCTATTCTTTTATAACTATAGCATATATTATAAAAGTATTTCTGAAGTTATACATTCTATATCTATTATTATAATAATGACTAAGAATAAAAAATTTGAACGATTTTGGATCAGCAGTACTTTACGGAAATTACTGTTTTATATTAATAATTTTTTTCGTTGATTGAAGATATTACTATTATTAATATATAACACATTGTATTTGTTTCAGATACGTAACGTGAACGGAACGAAATTAATGGCCTTGGTCGAGCTTTTTTTAGAAATTCAATACTAAATTCGGCTATAATGCCGCACTGACGCTATCGGTTCTTATTATCAAAGTATAGCCAGATACGATACTATAGAATGGTGTATGTAATGTATGTAACTGCATAAATCAACTTTCACGCCCACTTCTCAATTCACCCCCGAGGGGGTGAATCATCCGATAAAAAACAATGCAAGCGTGAAACATTCATGTAATGCATACTTAAACATCCGTTTGCGATGTTACGTATAAAATATTAAATGCAAGGGTGAGATACATACAAAAGTTCTAACACTCTTTTTTAACTTATCGAACTACGAAAGAAGGAACTTTAACATGTAGACATGTCCGTATTTTAAAGTTACAAATAAAATTCTACTAAAAATTTTTAATTAAATACAAACTCATAAGTTTATACAGTAAAAAAATCTACCCTTGTTAATTCTTGGCTTTTCAACAATTGTAATGGTGTAACAATTATTGTAATATTATTCATGGGATTCGATACGTCCTTAAAATGTTCAACTTTTACATTTAGAATATCAAACGTAAATGTAAGAATATCTACTGTTACATACTTGGATTACGCTTCGAAAGTGACACTCTATACAAAGTCAAGTATTTCGAACATTTCTTTATTGTATCAAGGTATTTGAAAAAATCCCAGGCGCATTTATAAGACCATTTTCAATATTAAAATAGATAGACGTAAACAAGAATAGCATGGATTATTGTTAACATCGATAAATGTTGAAAAGCAGTAACATCCTCCAATTCGAAGAAATATATGGATTAAATTTGTTGCTTCTAAAAATAAATAAAACACACGTTAATGACATAAATAATAGTATTTCGAAACTATAATACAGAAGAAATTTAGTCTATTATTTCGAATGCACATGACCCAGTAAGATTCTCATCCAAAGAACAGTAATATCCCCTTGTTCAAGCTTACTTTTTATAATCAACATTTACGAAACCGCGCCCACAAGTCACATATAGATACGAATTTCAAACACTCCTCGGGAATCAGAAACAAACCCGTGTCATAATGAACAGATTATGAAACCGCGTAAATGTAATTGCTGATCAAAATCGTCGACTGATAAGTATACTCACGCGTGACAGGACAAACGCGTATGACCCGCACGTTTCTTAATTACATCTATAAAAAACAATTCTCTCGGGATGAGCACCGCATAATAAAAAGATGACAGTGCGCGAAAACTCGAAAATGACAAACAATACCGGAAACGTAACGAGCTGACGTTGATATAGATAATTATTTAAAAAAAAGATCAAGAAAAAACGACACTTACCAGTTGAGAAACATACTGGAGAACGGTACCACGTGTTTTCTGGGTGAAATATCAGTAGCAGTGCACCACGAAGATGCACCTCGATGATGCACCCACCCTCGGTCACATGTCCAAATCCTTTTGGTCGGGCACCACCTACGCACGAAATTATTTATTCCCGATCAGACAGTTCATGTTGTAGACGGTTGGCCTAGCCCGTCAGTTCTGTTCTCTCACTGTATCCTACTCCTACTCTACCTCTTTTACCTCCTCTTCCTCTACCTCCTTTTACCGTTCTCCTATTCTACCACCTCTGGGTGTGCGCAGTTCCTTTCCCTTCCGTGAACGCTGCGCGTGGAACGCACGCTACCCCCTTCGTTCCATCGTCAACACCCCAAACTTTATCGGTACTACATACACGAAGGTACCAAGGGGAAAATCTATATGAGCCGCGTCTGCGCCCTCGCCGCGATGGGGTGAATTTGTACGCTTACGCCTTCTTCAGCATCGTGAGCTTAATCGCCGTGACAAAGAGTGTCCTGTGCATTCCACGATGATCTTTGCACCCTGTCGGATACCGGTGGACAACGTATGCCAAATAATTATCGCGTGTTTTGCTAACTAACTATCGCCGGCGTTCCTCCCATTCTCACCTTTCACGAGCAGGCCGCTCTATGACATCTCTTCCCTGAAATTTTATGAATATTAGGACCCCTAACTTGGAATGTTTATAGTCGAAAAGTCGTTGCATAATAACAGCGTGTTGAAACGAAAATAATTAGTGCCAGGAACGAAACAAAATTCCATGTCCTTTTGTGGACATTTCCTTTAGTGTCTCCGAGTGTTCCCTAATATTTTTTTATGACAATAGGAGATGATGTTAAGGGTTTTTGTATATGGAGAAAACAGAGTAATATAATATATTATATCATCATGTTCGGTATTGTTTTCAACGAGTAACTCTTACCGATGCATATAGGTGGTCTTATCGATAAAGAAATAACTATATATACGATTGGGATTTTGAATACTTTCTCACAAATAATGAAAAATTTTCATTTTTCACTTGAATATAACGAAACTAGCATCTCTTACATTTGGTACTGGTAAATAAGCCCCACAACTTTGAGTTATACTTTTGAGAAATATACTCGCAAAGTAGGTAATAAATCGAGAATGTTTCTCCGAAATAATGAAGCAATCTTTTAATGAATGTGTGATATTGTCAGATTCCAGTTAACCAAGGATCGCCTAATTTCAGATTTCCCTCTTTTGATGTACAGTTCCTGTAATGTCACTAGTGGCGCTGTAATCAACCATCAAAAGTAGAAGAAACAATAATCTATGAAACGTATCATTCTATGACTAACGATGTCGCTAAGCAACTATCCCAGAGGCTATGTGTATACGTAGATATACCTTACTGCTATGAAAATCAACCGATTCCACCCCTCTAACGATACAACGTTGAACCTTATCAATATTAAACTTTGAAAAAGGACAATTGAAAATACAACAGGCAAATACAATAATTTATTGAATAACTCTATAATAACAATGCTATTGTACGATTAGAGCAATCGTTTATGATTACACATAGAGTACCTTTCTTAAACATAGAACATTAATCGATTACTTTCGGAACGCCATTTTCTCTATAGCACGTCGCGCGATTAAATTTTCCTTGGCATAAAGTATTACGATGAAATACTGCGAAGATTATGTAAATCTCTTTTAATACGCGAATTATACGTGATAAAAAATATTTAAGAATTAGTGCTATATTATATAATAGTATATAGATATATGTACTTTATATACGGTAACAGATTTACTTTTGTGATCGCCATAATACAAGTAAAATGTTCATGATGAACCAAAGGTGTACAATAACAGTAAACTGTTTGATAAATCATTCAGTTTAATTCCATTCGTTTATCGATTCTCTGAATGCGTCAAGTACGTCACAAAGTTGGTTATCAACATTGAGTGCAACGTCAGTAACGGTTTTCCCTAAGTGTCATTTGTCTCTCGGATCGTAGAATCCTAAAATCATAAAGGTCATCAGAAAAATGGGTAAATCTTCCTCTCTTACATTTTAACAGTTTTATCAGTAAATGTTTTTACATTCTATTAATTTTTAATTTTACAAGTCTTTTTATTTCTTTCATTGTAAAAGTCAAGATTTCTATTCGATAAATTGATTTCTATAAGTTAAAATAATATTGTAACTTTCTATTTTTCATTGAGAAGATTAATAAAAACAACGAATTTGTAGAAAATTCGAGTGCAGTTACGATCGAGGGAGAAAACTATGAAGTAGTAGATGAATGTGTCGAAGAAGAAGATACATCTAATAATATGCAAAATAAAATTACAGAAGATTCTGTATCTGCAGACAAGGAAATTAAAAACATTAAATCACCAACTGATACTCCTACAAATGATAATGCAAAAGATGATGATGAATTGTTAAGTATAAATAACAACTTGAAAGGAGATGAAAGTGTAATGATTATAGATGAAGCCTTAAAAAAAGATGTAGAAGTTGTAGATTTATCAAGTGATGCATCACCAGATGATTCAATGATTAATGATAACATTGAAAATACTATCTCAAATACAGATAATGAATGCCCAAAACCATCAAATGGAGAGTCGATTGACTTTACTGCTGATATTTCTTTAGACCAATTGAATGCAGAAAAAGATGTAACGGATGCAGACGTTTTACAAAATCTAGATGACATTGAAAATATAGTTTTAAATTCTTCAGATTTTCAGATTACAGAAAATATTGGAATAGAAAATGAGAATAATACGTTAACTCCAAAAGATAAGGAATCACAAGAAACAACCATAGTAAATAAAAACATTAATATGGAGCAAAATAGATCTTCTGATAATGATAATACAAATATTAGCAAAGAAATAGAAACAGAAACATCTGAAGTAAATGATTGGTATGAAAAAAAGGTAACATTCAAAATTATGCATAATTAATTGGGAAACTAATATTCATATACTGCATTTTGTGTACACTCTAATATTTAAACATATAATATTATATTTATACTTTATCACAGCTAGCTGAGAAAGAGACAATTATAAAAGAACGATTACAAAAAATGGCTAGAATTTTTGGAATTTCATATCCATCTTATGAAAGGTGGTTAGAATGGGAGGAGAAAGTAAATGGTTCCCCTCTTTGCAAATTAAAACCAGCTCGCCGGTGTTGCTTGAAAAAACCACATACTAATCGCTGGAAATTCATCTGTAAACATAATTTATATTCCATAATGAGAATTTTGTAATTTAACTACATCTTCAAGTTTTTAAAATTTAAGAGATATATTATAAAATTTGTGTAGTAAAAATTGTGCTTTGCCCTTTTATTATCATACAAATTTTAAGATCTTGAAGTATGAAAAGTACATTTAATAATATTATTTCCTTAATTAAGTACTGACATGGATATTATATATTTAGGTAGCAGAAAAAGGGTTCAGGACACTACTAAAGAGATGAATAATGATGATGCTCTTGATACCAAAAATATAAAAATAGTTTGGAAATTAGAACCAAGTGGAGCATGGGGTGTTAATATAAATAATGAATCTGAATTTCCATCTTTCGTGTTACGTGCTGTGAAGGTATACAATTTCGCTCTATTAATATACCTCTTCCTGTTAGATTTTATAATTACTTGTATATATAACCTAGCAATTATTAAAGTAAATCTATTACAATACAAATTTAAGGAAGTCATATGAGCTATAAAAAATGTTACCTGTTAATAATTCGTTAAATAAATTTAGACACAAACCCCAATAGCTTTGCTAAATATTAGTTCTATATTGGGAACAAATATAATAATATGCTTGGAACTCATATCAAGCTGTATGAAGCAGTATTCTTGTTCTGTATAAGTCTTTACATGGATAAGTGCTTTTTACATATATATAATAATAATAAGTAATAATCATTATTATCGTATTATATCTGTATTAAACAGATATTTGAAGAATTTCTTCAAACAACAACAGAACATCCAAATAACCAAAATGGTACAAGCGAAAATTTTTCCGATGACATACCCATGGAAGTAGAAGTAAAGAAAGAAACAAATAATGAATATAAACAAGACTGGTTATGGTTAGTAGTACGTTGTAATAGCATGGACGAGCTCATGCTTTTTGCCACTGGGAAAAATATAAGTCGTGCTACGATGGACCGTTTGAAACATACTTATGAGTCTGGACCAGGCAAAGATTGTAATGTAAAATCACTTTATTGCAAGTCTACAAATAAGTAAGAAGATTCATGTAACACCAACCAAAGAACATTATTATGAAAAAGATAGTGCATTGCTGTCTTATTTCTTAATTCTAGATGTAATGATACTACTGTGACAGACACAACGTTTTTAGTAGGATCAGAAGCTTTAGACGAAATTGTGGGTGGTCTAAAAGTGCAACTTGCACCCAAAACAAATTTTTGGTCAAATACTGCAGGAGCAGAAAATGTAGCGAATGTAGTATCGGAATTACTTGCACTTACTCCAAATCTAACATTACTTGAAATAGGTTGTGGAATTGGTCTCATCGGGCTAATGATGGCATCTGTAAGCACATAAATACTGTTTCATTAAAAATATGTTTATTTGTTATTTCAAATATCATACGGAATTTTTTTACTAAATTATAGAAATGCGAAGAAGTTATAGGAGTAGATTTACCATCAGAGGTAGAAGAAGCTGAAATGACATGCGAATTGAATAATATAAAAAATGCTTCGTTTATTATGGGATCTGCGGCTGAAATACCAAAAAAGCTAATGACGATAATGAAAGGTCGTAAAGCATGTGTAGTGATTAATGCAAATACTCATATTGGTCGAGGTTCGTTAATTGAAATATTATTATAGTACATATCGTATAGTATAGAATACACATGTTTGTATATCTTACAGCAATTGAAGTAATGACATGCATCAGAAAGTTGACATCTATTAAACGAATTGTAATGATCACTACATTAACTAAGCAGTCAGTTCGTGCTATATTGGAATTAGCTCGGCCTATACATCCGAATACTTACGGATCACCATTCATTCCTACAGTAGCATGCGTTGTTGATACTTTACCTGTTGGGCCACATTTTGAAGCTGTCATCTTACTACAGCGACGATCCGTGACTAAATTAACTTCAACATGGTTTCACACAAATATGGTAGAAAATATTAAAACGCCAGATGTTAAGAAAGTTCAAGAAAAGATAAATCAGCAAAACATAAATGGAACAGACAAAAAGATTGCAGCTAAAGAAGCTGAGTCACGAGCAACAAAAGCTGTAAATAAATTATTAACAAAATTTTCAACGAAAAAAACAAAAGCACCAGTGAAAAAAATGATTCAACCAAAAAATATCGATAATACTTTTGTTAAGAGTAAATTTAAGGGCAAACGTCCTCATTCCCCGGATAGAGGTGAAGCTCCGCCAAAAAAGATGATAAAGAAGTTTGGTAAATTTAATGCTAAACCTTGGCAAACAGGTAAGTCAATACTTTTATGTAACAATTGTTTTAATAAATTGAAAGTTTGTTGCAAAACTGTATAAACAAGTTTTAATAAAACTTTATTTAAATATTAGATTTATCGGTTAAAAAGAAAAAGGAATGGAATACAGAAGAGTCGCAGTTGCGTATTAATCCTCTATATGAAAAAAAATTACGAGAATACAAGGAGCAAGCTGATTTAAGAGAAAGATTATCTAATAATCGACTTGATACAGATATTGCCCAAAGAGTAAAAGAGCACCAGGCACTCTTAAAAATAGCAAAGGAGAAATTAAGTGGGCCAGCGCCAACTGTGGATATAAATACCGCTAAACATTTACAAAACATGTTGAATATGGTTTTAGAACAAACAAATAAACTTCAGAGTCAACTTCCGCGATCTGTTTGGGATCGTATAGCACCTGTAGAAAGTACTTCGGAAAAAATGGAAATTAAACAAGAATCAGATTCTTTATCAAAAGGTCGATATGTACAAGAAATAAACAGTCAAGAAATTTTAATTACTACGGCAAATAAATTTTCAGATAATGAAGCGTCTGATACAAAACCATTTTATAAGAAATATACTAACATACCTCCCTTGGAACCAAATATGGTAATGCCAGTAGGACCACCGATTGATTATAGAAGAGAAAATCAATTCAGAATATCGCCAGAACGATATCACGAAACAAATATATGTGAACAAGAAGTTCAGGATGGTTCTTGGAATCGAGATAAAACATTTGAAAGGAATCGATGGAACGAAATGACAAATATGAGGAAAGCAAATTCACCTACTAGAAGGCAAACATCTCCAATAAAACATCGTATGTCTCCTTCGAATAGATTTTCACCTAAACGTCCATTATTATCTCCACCAAGACGTCCATGTTCGCCTCCTAGAAGACATTTCTCTCCTTTTCATCGACCATCATCACCATTGTATAGACAGCGTTCTCCCTTGAGACGACCATTTTCTCCTCCTTTAAGGCGTCCTATGTCTCCATCTAAACGAATATCACCACCAAGGCGTCCTTTGTCACCAAGACGTACATCGTCTCCACGACGACTTGATATTTCACCTATGAATCGTCCAATATCACCATTAAGACAACAAACATCTTCGCCACGGCGACAAATATCACCATTAAGAATAACTTCATCTTCGAGGAGGCAATTGTCTCCAATAAGACGACAAATATCTACACCGCGAAGGCAAATGCTTTCTCCTAATCGAATAATATCTCCAAACAGACAAGAAATGTTACTTTCCAGACAACAAATTTTAATGCAAGAAAAGCAACAGATGTCACCAATGCGACGTGCAGAATCACCACAAAGGTTTGTATTTGGGCGTCCTACATCACCTCCGAGAAGACAGCCATCTCCACCAAGACGACAAATGTCACCTCAACAAAGATTTGCGGATGATTGGGATATACCAAGCAGAGGAGCCGTCGAACAAAATATTTGGATGCGACCTGCTGGAAAATTATCTACTCAGAATGTCTGGCGAAATGAAAAACCTTCTACATCTACTAACAATTGGGACCAAAATTCGTCCAATGATAGGCGTCGTAAAGGTTTTAATCAAGAGAAATGGGACGTTCAAGAGTCTACTCACGATAATACATGGAACATCGGTGGAAATGCTTGGAATTCTAAACAAACGTGCACTAAACCAATGCCCAAAGAAACATGGACATCAAATTCTGACAATAGATGGTCAAACACGTCTAATATGGCTGGAAGCAGTAACGATAATTGGAACATTAGAGGAAAAGAAAGTTTTAATGCGCGCAAAGAATCATGGTTAGAAAACAAGAAACAAGGTAGATGGGAATCATTTAATGTTAAAGATTCTTGGAAACAATCTGATAAAGAAGATTTAAATGATTTACCCGAAGACGCAAGAGATCCTTGGGGCGATGATGGTAATAATCTGGGCTTGAAAGAAAGATGGCTTAAATTTGAAAATACCCCTTCATCATCTACTTGGATAAGAGAAAATGAACAAAAAGAGTCATGGTTAAAATCGAAAGATAATTGGCAAAACAAAGGATTATCTTTTCCTGCGAAGCCACAGTGGCAAAATAATGGTATTAAAAATATTGGAGAATCACGTTGGACTTCACAAAATGAAAATGATAAGAAATCTTCATCAAATTGGCAAAGTGGGAAAAATGTAGGCTCTTGGCAAACGCAAAATTTAAATTTTCAACCTCAACGTTCCCTTTCCACCACCCAGTTTAAAGGCTTTCACTAAGATTCATGTTCCTTAATTCGATCGTAATATTAAGTATTAACAATTTAATTTGTTAAAGAGTTCTTATCGTCGCATTACTTGGGTCGCAAATGGAAAGTATAAGTTGTATGTTTTAATGAAAGTGAAATATATTTAGAAACTATGAAATAGATACAGTTAATTGAAGTACATAATTGTACTGCTCGTTCTATGATTTATTAGAAATAAAATCTGTTTACTTTCAAAGTTAATATTTTATTATTCAAGAATTGAAATTGTTAATACCGTATCAAAAGTATTGATTAAAAATATAACTTCATTATAGACATAAGTCCCATAATTTAAAGTGGTATTATAAATTTAGGAAATGGCAATTTACATAAGCCTCCTATGAAACAGTGTAAAAAGTAAGTTTATATTGTACTTTTCAAATAAAACTGCATTTACATAAAAAAATAAAATTTTAGTTCACTTAAAACACTACTTCATTTGTATGTATATTTCACATTTAGCACTTGACTTTTAAGTCATTATAAAATTTTAATATGTTCTTTATAATAAAAGAATGAATGAAATATAAATGTGTACTTTCTAAATGAATAGTAAGGTATATGTTTACCATTGTGTAAGAACATAGTGTAATTAAGCATCTACTTTAATTTATGAACAAACAACATTAAAATTAATCCATTACATCCGGTTGTATATAATATTATAAAATTTATAAAATGTTTTAATATTTTTAAAAAATGTATATATGATTTAATTATGGGGAATATAGTTATTACATATATTTTATTTAAAACATTTTTAATACACTTTTTTGGTATATTATTTTCATATAAAATGATTACAGTAAATAAGAATTCACTTGCGTTCATACATATGAATATGTATGTCGGTAACGATTGCCGTGTGCTCTTCGTTTTGGTGTCGATAAATGTTTGTGAATATAACAAATGCTTTTACAACGTATTTAAATGATAAGCTTCACTTACGTTTAAAGTAATAGAATCTATAATATTTCCTGCATATTTATATAAATAAGAGTAACAAATGTTTCGTCCAAAGGTATGTCAGTTTGATATTTATATGAATGTAAAAGAGGTTAAGATTAATTATTACAATCTTTTTTAGATTTCGTCAATTTTGCGAAATATAGCGAATAGTTCATATCAACAAGAATATATTAATTTTTTACCATGTTCATTATTTTCAACGGAATGTGTCAATGTCGAAAGCATCAAAAAGGTATATGAATTATTTGTTTACTAATCTTTTTTCTTCACAAATTACTTTATACCTTTCTCGTAGAAGCAAATTTACAGCTAAACATTTACATTACATAGTGTTCCCTTTACAAGTGTCATTCTACAAAGTAGTGTGATCTATAGTTACATATTCATTATGAATATATAGTTAGATATTTTATATATTCTTCTAAAGATAAACAAGATTTAAATGAGAATATATTTCTTCCTATAAACGTGTCTGTAATAAAATTTTTACTGTGTTTTATTCTACAGATTTTGGTATACTGTAAATAATGTAATATTAACGTTTTAGTAAGTAATAAATAAAAAAATTGTTGAACTTATAATTTTTTAATATTAGTTATATCTTATTTAACTTCAGCCTCCTGCCGATAATTTATATAAGAAAATAGAACTTGAGGTCAAAGGAAATGAGCCTGCTGTTTTGAGAAGTTACGGAGAATTTATTGTTATGGCAGCTGAACATTTAGAGATTAAAAGTGGTAGAAAGTAAGTTAAAATTTAAGAATTTTTGGTTAAAGAACTATATATTATAAAATTTAATAATATTATATTGAAATTAATAGCATTGCACTACCAAAACCTGTGCATGAAAAACTGACAGTATTGAAGTCTGTCCATATTTATAAAAAGCATCGTGTACAGTATGAAAGAAGAACATATTTTAGGTATCTAGATTTCTATCATTTAACTGGTTCAACAGCAGATACCTTTTTAGAATACATTGAAAGAAATCTTCCAGAAGGAGTAGCAATGAAAGTTACAAAGGTATAATTTTAATTTCTACATGTCAATTAGTTTTTGGTATATAAAAATAAATTAAATGATACATATGTTTCACAGATTCAATTACAAACTTTACCTGAATCAGTTGAACAAGCAAAAGTTTCAGAAGAAAAACAGAATTAGACTGTATAAATATACATTAATTGTAGTAAATAATTGAATAAATTGTGTAATATTGTTTTAAGTATTAATTTTATTATTCTCCTATTTACATTATTAAATAATAATAAATATAAAAATAATCATATTAAATTTTCTGTTTTAATATTTCTGTGCTATGTGCAATATTTTACATGAAACTAATTGTTCAGGTCACAATTCAAAACCGATTTTTGCACCAAGATTGCACAGGTAACATTTTTATTCACTATTCAATGAGTTTTTAATTTCTTTTTCTTTATATATTTTTTACTTATTTTCTATAACTCTTCCGGAAACATTCATACTGTATTTCAGTAATATTGTCAGACCGACCACACTCGGATATAATCAATCTCGAAAGATGGCATTTTACCACTTTGTCGTGTCCAAGTTGGAAACCAATCGTTTTTTGCTTGCCAAAATTGTAACATTGCCTACAAAATTTGTTATCTTATTAACAATGTTTTTTGAAAATGATTAAACTCTTTATGTAATAGTATAAAAAAACATTACATATGTTCAATTTTTATTTACCTTAGCACCAATATTTCGCCATGGTTTGGTATGATCAGAACTTTTTGTGCCATCAGGAAAAACGCGTATACCACCGACTCCGAGGCCAATAGAAATATAAAACTGTTTAAAATAAAAAATATTATAAACATTATGTGACAAGTATTATTATTAACTTATAGAACATTTATAATATGGATGAAATGGAAATCAGTATCATATAACTATATAAGAAAAAACATTTTAGTTCATTATAACAGAGTTTTTAGCATCGCTCGGATTTTCTATTGACTTTCAGACATACTACACGAGCTTATAAAGTAAACAAATTACTTCTTTGTCAAATGGAGCCATTTTATTATAATCAGTGTTGTTCAACCATCCATCCCTTTTAGGACACAATTTACCAACTTCTTCACCATCAACAAAAAACTGAAATTCATTTTTGTTCCAAATAGTTGTATAATTGTGAAAGTCTTGTGTCCATTTTGAACCATTTTCGTTTATTTTAGAAACCACGTAATCGTCGACGTGTGTGCTTGTACCAACTCGAAATCCGAAATCCAATTTTCTAGAGTCGAAGATAAGATCACCCTTAGGGTCGATTAAATGGTCATTTCCTCGAGCTAGACCAAGAATAATGCGTCCACTTGAATAACCAAAACCATAAGTATTGGACGTTGGTTGCAGATACATTTCTGTTACAATTAGAAACATATTAAATTTCATCTACAATATTGATCCTAGATCGTATTATGAAAATCAAATTTTTTACATTATTTACCTGGATACAACCAATCGCCTTGCGGAAATTTTGCTCTTATCTCAATTCTACCGTACCGGAAATTAAAGCTTTTTTTCGTAGTTAATCTAGATGATAGAACGGGTGGTAAAATGCTATAGGCCCCAGCGTTCCGTGAACATTCTTCTAGAATTTTGCTGGTACACCTATCATAAAAGAAAATTATATAAGTAATTAAGATAAATCGTTTTCATTCGTTTAGTACTCAATGTAAATGTGAAAAACAAATATTAACATAACTTTGTTAAGTTAAACTTACCCACTAAGTTCCATTTTTCCAAATGCAGTAGCCCGGTCACCATACTGATCTTCTAACATCTGTAGTTTAAACCGAGCTTTTCCACCAACAACTTGAAGTAAAGGTGCGTGGTGTTCATTATGATAGACGCAAAATTCATAATCCTGAAACAGAAATTACACAACTTAATTATTTTTTATGCATCGATACGTGGTCTTATTCAACAGGACTTTTCCGCGGTGTCTGTCTATTGCTAACCGTTTCTACTTATCGTAATCGTGAGCGTTCATTTTGGAATGTAACTTACAGGACTTAATGGTATTCTGATGTCACGCTCCCAAATTAATGTGTTAAAGTTATCAAAATCTTCGTTGAACAATAGGGTACCAGGTTTTTCTTTTGGCTTTTCCGCTGTAAACATAAGACATATGTTTCGTACGTATATTTTCGATATTCAAAAATATTATTTCCCATTTTCTGACTTCTAAAATTATTTCTTGAAATATCGAAGTAAAAAAATTGTAATGAATTTTTAATATTTTTGTGTTGATATTTGTAAAATACGTACTCGTAACAATCCACGTTTGATCGCTTTTCGTATGCATTTTTCCATTAACTTGTGCTTGCATCCAATAATGTATGGTATCTCCATCTTTTAAAATTACATGTTTTTTTACAATTGTCCATTTACCCTTTGTTTGCCTGTATGTTTCACCTGATATTTCTCCTACTTGGCTACTTACAATTCTTTTGTTTATATTTCCATTGAATGCGAAAAACTGCAGTCCCCTTTCATCTATTAATACAACGGGAAAATTTTTTATATTAATTTACGAATTTTCCTTCAACAAACAAGAAAGTAGATTAATAGTTGAACTAATAATTATAAACGTTTATTAATTTCAAACAATCGTAAAAAATAATATCATCATGAAATAAAAATAATCTTGATAAATATGTAACAAAACATCACGACATTTTTGAGCTCTTAATAGTAAATAATAGTTGAAAACAATTTCTCGTATGAATCATGCGCAAGGAAAACCCGCTTTATCGGGGAACCACTAGTGTAACGTAAAACGTATGAATGTAAAAATATCGATTACATTATGTATAGCAATTTATCAATTTTTTTTCAACTTACTGCTTACAAAACATATCCATAAGAAAAACATGTGAAATAGTTGAATGTTATGAATATTACTGTGCATATTTGTAGTTTCTTTTGCATATTACAAATTAGTTATCATTATTTACTTACTTGGAATTGAAATTTGAATCTCGTTCGATTGTAAAACTGTAAACGTTGGTTCGGGAAAAATGTAAGACTCTTCCACTTGCGTGATGATTGTTTCGAATTTTAAAAACAGTATGATAAATGTTGCAATGAAACCACTGTAACCGAACATGGTGCTTTTGCAATTCAGTCAGTATAACATTAATTAATTATTTATAACACACGTTACGATAGCTTAGTGAGATAAAAGGAATACACTCGCGAATAGCACGGGCTCTCGATACTGGACTGATCTCAGCATGAAGTTATGATAACTTTTGTTCATCTTCAAACCCCTCTTCTTTGGATTTCTCACACTGCAACAGGCGTGGGGCATTCCAACTTCTAAAGAAAAAGAAAACGAGAACTGGAAAGGATTTGGTACATCTGATTCTGTTAGAGAATAGTAGCTAAGGAAGGGAACTATTTTTACAATTATTTTATCTAAGTCTTATATAGAAATTATAAACTCTAATAGAACTATAGAATTTATAAAAAAAAATATCTGCATATGAAGAATCATAAGAAATGTTTTTTTGTAATAATGATATGGTTTTAGCAGAGTATCTAATGAAGTGATATACTTAAACCAAAGTATTATATATTTTATATATTTATAAGTAGTATATTATGTTTTTATTTTAATGTATTTATTAAATTTTCAACTTTGGAAGGTATTCTTAGTTTTATAACATATAGGTAGTTGGAATAATGGTTAAAAATGTTAAATACCAGTTACAAATTTTAGATAAATTAAATTACGCGCGCGCGCGTGTATGTGTGTGTATGGATTCATTTATTCTATTTTTTGTATTCCATTTTCCCGGCATTCTGACGTCAGACTTTATGCGGGTAATAAAAACATGGCGGTAGGCATGTTTTCGCGGATTATTCGGATAGGGATGTTACCTAAATACCTTGTTTGATCAATAGATATTCTGTGAAAAATTGATCATGTTACTGTCAAAGAACGTGACTAAGTATGGCTACTTTAGAATTATATCCCATGACTCCGTAACAAAGATTGTAAATAAATATTTAACAGAAGAAAGAAATGTACAAAGTAAACGAAACCTTGTAGGTTATCTAGTATTGCAGCCTAATAAATGTTTAAATGAAAAAAGTGATTTAAAAGGCATAAATCATGGATTAATAGCACATTTTAGTTCTAATAGCGACAAGGGATACTCTGCAGACACGTAAGTACATTTAAGAATTAATAAAAATTTAACACACTTCTATAAAAAATGTCCACATTTTATATAATAAAGAATTACTTAATAATTATTAAAATTGAAATATAAGAATATATAGAAAACAAAGAAGAATATTCATTATAGAAAATAATTCATATAATTTTAACATAAATTTAAACTTAAATTCTTTTATTATAGAGAGCTCACACCTGTACAATTTGAAAAAGTTTCAGATGAAACTCTTGATTCGTTAACAGAATACTTTGATGAATTGATTGAGAAGGCAGCACATTTAACAGAGGCAGATGTGTCATATGGGGTATGTATTCCAATATCTTTTTAATATCTTATTATCACATTAACATTAGTAGTTTATAACTCTGTGCACCATGTAACGATATTGCAGGATGGTGTATTAACTATTAAATTTGGTAAAACGTATGGTACTTATGTTATAAACCGTCAAACTCCAAATAAACAGATTTGGCTTTCTTCTCCTAAGTCTGGTCCAAAACGATACGATTTTGTAAATGGGAAATGGATTTATAAGCACGATGGAAAGACATTACACGAGTTACTTAACAGTGAAATACCAGCAATAGTAATGAATGCAACATGTTTTGAGAAGTGCTCTTTTAGTGGAAAAGAGAAGGAAGCTATAATGGACACTCTTCAGTAATTGTGTAATTTTGTAATTATAATTAAAGTAACTGAACCAAAAGACACATTTATATGTGTACTCCATTGAGCATATGAAATCTCAGTAACTGTATATAAATTATAATATATTACATTGTAATAGACACATGTGAGTATTTATATTCTTGCAACGCATTGACATTTTTTTAAAGGCAAACTATCTCCTCAAATTTAAATTGCAACCTATATTCAAATGTGTATATCGTATTATCGTATTTATAATTTATTTATAATATACTTTTCATGTACATAAATAAATAAATAAATATTGAAGCGGTTAATCGTTGCTAATTAGTAGCGTTAGATTTTGATGTTAAGGTATATAAGAATGTTATATATTATACAGATCGCAAACATGGAGATTATGGAAGATGGCAATTTAGTAGATCGCGTTAGGATTTTGTTGCAACGAGATATGCAATATTATCAGGTAGTAATTTAACACCTAAATGTTATTTTATCATTATCGTTATTAATAGTTATTGCAGATGTAATCATAAAAGTTCCTCGAAATTTCTAAGTGAAAATATACATATCATAAGATCCATTTGGATTCGCATTGTTTTCTTTCATTGATCACAATTTAAATTGTATCGTTGCTTATATAACTACCTGCAGCTATATAGTTTTCTCGAAAATTGATATCAGTACATTCAAAAATATTAGAATTTTTCTATAGAGACTGTACTTAAAAAATGAAAGATTCTCATGTATTATGGTGACACAGGAAATGCAGACGGTATTGAAAGAGCCAATATGCACTCGTATATCTGGTGGAAAACTCGATTTTCCAAGACACGCTTCTTTCGCCGCAATTAAAATTGTTACGTGGTGGGAATTAGATTTCCAAGCTGCTTTCAAACGCCACTCTGGATTATCAAGTAATGAAGAACGTGAAACTGCAGAGAGTGCAGAGACTGAGGATAGAGTTATTAAACAAATACAGCCATCCGAATTTATACTAACAGTCGTTGATACTGCCGAGCAATTATTAGGTATTACCTATGTAATTTGAATATATAAATATTCAAAAGATACTTCAAATTTAAATATTTCACAAGTAGTTAAACATTAATGCACTAAATTAATAGAAGAACTACAAGAAAATACTGCATTCATTTCAGAACACTTACATCTGCTCATTCAAGAATCATTGGATCACGCAGATTTAACAGTATTAACAGCCACATTGGGAGCAGCGGCATTAATCCGAAATTGTTTATGGTGTTACAGTCAACAGTCTAAAAGCATAGTTTCCGTTTCGACAGGGTATATTTATTCAATAACAATGAAATAAGACGTTAATTATACCTTGGTATTGTATCTTAAATGAATAAACGTTCTGTTAATAGTGAAAAGATAAACAAATCGTATAAATCTTATCACGAAATGGCTGAAGCAGTAGCAGAGAGAATATTAGACTTGCACTGTCGCTTAATTTCATTATACATTCTCAACGAAGCAGATTCTCTTAGCTGGAATGACGCGAAATCATTTTTCGAACGCGAACGCTGCTCCTTTGTGATACAAATGTGGTGGCTGTATATGCAAGGTAGCGTATTTAATTGTTACATTCAAAACAAGACTCCTAAACGGTTCCTAGATCGTATCTTTTAAAGGAAATCAGTATATCTTTAACTTTTAGGAACAAAGACAGATTTATGGAACACCGTTTCACCGAAAATGGCGCAACGTATTTTCTCCGGAATGTTGAACGAATCATTGTCTATTATTGTAACGAGATTCATTTATGTAAGTGTTTTGCTAAACTTCGATTCTTCTGTAATGATTTGGTTTAAAGAGTAAGGCAATAAAGAGAATTAGATTGAAACTTCGAAGTACTTGAGTACCAGTAAGTCGTGCATGTTGGAAGTAACGAAAGGTGAAACTCCATTATGTTAGGCTCGACCCAGCTTAGCACGTGCCGAACAGTTTTGGACAGACGCCTTCAATGTTCTTTGTTGCACGGGGTACCTTGCTTTAAACGCTTGTCTCAGCGTAAACGAAATGATCGGAACGAACTTAAATAAACTGCCTGTCGCTATTAGAGATATTCATGCAAAGTGCAATGAACTGTTGACTTGTTTGTTATTGAGGGGCACGCCGCTTCAAGAATTGTACCAGGTATCGCAATGTATTGTAAATTATTTCAATGTGAATTTTATATTTTACTATTCTATGTCAATAAAATGATACCAAAGTATGGCGCTAAACAAAACAGCTAGATGGAATCAAAGTCTGTATACGAAGTATAGCAAACTCCTAACATTAGACCCCTGGAGTTCAGCACAATCGATAAGATAAAGCTTCGCTTGACCTCACGCTAAACCTGCCCATAGTGTCACACATGTATTAGGAATTCTGATTTTTAAATGGATATTATGTTAGATATGCTTCCATCGTCTAATATGTATAATACACTTTTAGGTTTATTTAATTGTTTACTTCATAGGTTTTTCGTGTAGGGTTAGATAATTTAAAAATTTTGCAACCGCGCCATGGACTCGCACCCTGGCTGCTAATATGTGCGCCGAATTTATTAGGTTCCGTAGAGTCTGACGTTTACGTTTCGAGTCTGCCTGAAGACAGAGCGGTGATCCTAGAATTGAACATACTTCGACACCAACCGCAACCGAATTGGCCTCAAATAATAAAGGTAAATAATAGTCGGCCGATAAAATGATCAAAGAGTCGCCGTGTCTGTAAAATTACAACATGAATTAAAATGTCTGTAGGTACTTTCTATGAACGATTATGCAGTGGCCAAGATACTATTGAACACTTTAATTCGCGACTGTGGCAATTTCACATCTGAAGACAATTACGAAAATTTAAAGAAATTGAAAGTAACTGGAATAAATTGCGGTGGCTTTTTGTGTAATAGTTTATCCTGCAAACATTTCTTGAAAGTTACGTCGGCGTTAAGTCTCTACAGTTTGATGCACGTTTTAACGTATATAGTGCAGGAACCGGAGCATGTTATTGTATCATGCTTGAAGCAAAATCATGCATGGTCCAACTACCTCGACCGACAACAGGTACTGCATAGAACTTGAAAAAATGTAGGTTACAATAAAAATATTGTTGCTTCGCGCTTATGCAGGTTTGGAATCAATCTAGACCTCCGTGGCTGAATGCTATTTTAAAGCCATTAAAAAATATGATGCCGCCTATTATTGAATTATTGTTGGAAGCTACGAAAGTAAGTTGTGACTGTGCGATTATTATTATTTTTGTTAATTTTGGGTTTCGAAAATTCAGTTGTTTACTAGGAAGACTCATGATTAGTAAATCTTTTAACGGAGAAGTTCTAATTTTCAGACAGGAGCTAGTATGTATCAAGCAATGTCGTTAGTAATTGGCTGTTTCACTGAATTATACGTAACAATACCGATTGCCATTTTAAAGATCGCACTCGCGTTAAATAATAATGTTCCCGCTCATTGCCATCCAATCGGTGGGAACATTCTTTTTCATATTCTTTGCGCGTCCCTTTATTCTGCTCTTTTGGAGTTCTCGGTGAACTATAAACCGGAAACGGAAGTCAGGTCAGGTTCCAGAGGAACGCATCATGAATTAAGTTTGTTCGAATTTGACGACGATTCGGTAATTGCGACCACGTTGGCCGAAGCTATCTGCGGCATTGACGAGGACAATAAACACACATCTCAAATTGATGACTTTTTTCAGCTTGTAAATGAAAAGTAAGATGGTCCCTTTAATCATAATTAATCACAGATTAAATGTTGTATTTATTGAAAACATGAGCCATACACACAATTTTGTTGAGTTTATTCTTACACATAATTGTTTAACTGCTCTAATAAGTATTAAAATGCAGAAAATATAATTTGTTTGAACATGTCTTGATGAAGCAATGTTTTTAACGTGCAGTATTGAAGCAATAAATGCGAAATCATACGATAAAGAATTTACTGAAATATCTTCTATTATTGAAACAAATACTGATGAATTATTGTTTACAAATTCTGGGCGACAAGCACTAAAAGTAAGAATATAAAAATAGAATATATTCTTTTTATTAGCAATACAATGCAAGTAATTTTTTTGGTGATGCAGGTAGTGCACCAATGTTTGCTTCATGCATCCGATCTATTATTGGATAGTCTACGTAAAAATGACATTAAAAATTGTTTTATAAATATACCGGTGATAAATCCTCTTACGAAACCGTTAACATATATAATGTTTCACATTGAAGATACCGCGTTTGATCAGGTCAGCATCTGAAACCGTTTTATATGATATTATAATAACCCGTAAGAATTTTAATAATTGGTTTGATATTATCGTGATCTTTTATAGTTTCTTATTCAATATGAAAGGACAAATTGGAGAAAAGCTTTAACAATACCTCTGTCTATCACACTGGCACGCGCACGAAGTCAAATATTACTGCGTCCAGAATTCAAAAATGCAGGTGAACTAACACACGAGCAGAGAGAAGCTATGCAGTCTATTAAAAAGCTTTGTTCTTGTGTAAAAACAACGCATTTTAAGTAATTTGTATTGTATATTATTTACAGTTATAAATAACATCGAAACTTCCGCCTAAGTGAAATTTAAAAAATTATAGTACGTATGTAAGAGAAGAACCATAACATGCCAATAAATATTAATAAACATAAACAATCTCTGTGTAAATGAATGTTTTGTGTTTCCGTATTTATTCTTTGTTATTAACGAATTGAACAAACGATAGTTTACTTGCGTCAGAAAAACTTTTTATTTCATTCTTGGTAATTATACATTTATAATATTATTAGAAGTACTTATGTTTAGTAATAAAAACTCATAATCAGATTCAGTTTTATTCATATTTTCTTTTAACGTTCGCTAGTTTTTGTCCATAATATAATCGAAAATAATAAATATGACAGAAGCCATGAAAATTGGTATACCATACGAGGATAATTATTAGAAGCTCCATAATTTGCACAAGTGTGATGGAAATAAAAAAAGAAATTGTACATTGTTTCAATCATTGTATCTCGATGATGCAATATTATTCATGGTTCTTGACAATACTCCAATCTGAAACATGAAATTCATAAAAACCATTTTTCCATAAGCATTATTAAATTTCTGAGTTTTTGAAAATACAAATGAAAATTGTATTTGGTTTAATAAGAGATAAACAAATATCAGAATACGCGTTTTTTAACATTTCAATCATATTTTTATTTGAATTAATAT